GGAAAGAGCAGCCTGCAGCCTCTCCCACCCAAGGGCCCTGCGGCAGCTGTCCGGTGCTCAAGCCAGAAGCAGGGGCACTGATACCTGTTCTCGGCTTGTAACCCTTCACCTGCCCCTCCTTGGCCAGGCCACCCCCACCTGGACCTGGACGCACCTCCCAACTCGCCCCTCCATCTACCTGAGCCCTGTCTGCAGTCTTTCTTGGGCCCCTGCTGGCCCCGTGTCTGTAGTCCCCCTTTCACCCCACCAGCCACCTGCCGCGTGTCACCTCCTTCATCCTTCTGGCACACAGCCCAGCTCAGGCTCCGAGAGGGAGCTCTAAACTGAGGCTCCCCATGGCCCAAGCTCCCTCTGAGCCCCCGGACAGCAGGGCCACCTCAAACGTCCAGCAGAGAGAGGAAGTAGCTGTCCGAGCTGGCACTGCCCCTCAGCCACACGCTGGATTGGAGCTGACCAACCATGAACAACAGTGGCCAGTTTGCCCTGAATTGGCCTCGCAGGGCCCCTCCTTCTCCACAGCCTCCCTGCGGCTCAAAGGCAGGCCTGGGGGCCTCCACAGAAGCTGAAAGCCGAGCCCTTCCTGGGCAGGTGGATGGGGCAGGGAGCCAGCGTCCACTCCCAGCCCTTCCCGTCCCCTCTCCTTCCCCCAGGCTGGCCTAGGGGAAGAGTCATCCTCTGCCCAAGTCAAGAGCTCCCCACCATCACTGTCACTTGGTAGAGCCACCTTGTAAGTTTTTACTTTTCTAAATAAGGGACTTTAATGAACAAGTGTGTCCTGTCACACTGGGAGTCCCACACCCACAGCAAGCCTGAACCCCAGGCCCCCGCAGCCCTGAAGAACAGTGCTGCCTACTGGGTGCCTACTGGGAGCAGGTGGGCAGAACAAGGGGCCTTCAGAGACTGGGTGACTTGGCATAGGGGCATAGTCTCCTCAAGTCCTTGTGCACCCCTCAGTGCCCACACGGGCCATCACGCAGTGGTGTGGGCCACAGGGAGGGGCTTGCACACCGGCCCCGCCCGCCACACCTGACGGAAGGACGGGGCCCCCCCACCCACACACCTGATGGAAGGACACGGGGCCCCCCGCCCACACACCTGACGGAAGGACACGGGCCCCCCCGCCCACACACCTGACGGAAGGACACGGGGCCCCCCGCCCACACACCTGACCGAAGGACGCTGGGCTCTGTGACTTTCTTGCCATTGACGTAGGTGTCTGCACCCTCACAGGGCTCCAGGGTGACCACAGCTGTGGAAAAGATGGGGGGTTGGAAGTGGTCGTGAGGGGCTGTCCACCCACCCTCCACCTGCCAGGTACACCTGCCCAGGGCTGACTGCCAGGAACAACCTCATGAGGCCTCTTTCCTATCTAATCACAGAGACACCTCCCCTGCTCCTCAGAGCAGCCAGACGTATCCCACTTAAAGAGGAGGGAGAAGTGACCCCCAAGAGGGAGACTTGTGTGTCTGAGTTAAACAGCAGGGCACCCATGGGACTGGCCTGGGCACTGGACACTGGCCCGGGGCTCTGTCAAGGCCACGGCCAGAGGCATGACAATGAGAAGGAGCCACAGCACCGGCCCTGGGTGTGGTGGCTGAGAGCCGAGCTGTAAACGCCAAGTCGGGGTTTGATGCGGCAGTCAGCGTCCAGGAAGCCTGTGGCCCTGGAAGCCTACTGTGTCCCAGAGGGTCACCTGGTGGCAGTCGGTCTGGCTTTGTTTTACCAGAACCCTGGGGCCCCAGGCCATCGACACAGGGAGGGGCACAGGCTTTGTAGGCAGAGGAGCAGCACCTGGCCACCATTCTGGGATCGTCCCAAAGGCCAGCAGGGCCCTCAAGAGCACACCCTTGGCCAGGGAGGTGGCTGCTCCTCGCCAACAAGGCACGGAGTTTCTGTCCTCTGATATGGGGCTCCCTGTCATGGCCGACATGGTCCTGCCCACCAGCCCCCATGGTCGCCAAGCTCCTGGCCAGCAGCAGTGGGCATAGGGCAGGGACAGGCAGCCTGCCTGGGCTCCACCCACCTGCAGCCTGCAGGGAGACCGAGCTCAGGGGGTGGTGGACCCCTGGGTGAGAGGGGTGCCAGCCATCCCCTCCCCCTTCCTGGTAGGGCTTCACCCCCAGCTGTTGCCTCCCTCCAAAGGGTAAGATGTGGGACGCGTAGTGCCCAGAGTCAAAACAGGGAACCTGGGCTGATGGCCCAGCCTCCCTCAGGCCAGATCAGCAGCAGTGGGGCAAGTGAGGGATGGCTGGGGGGCGGGGGTACCTTCGCTGCCCCCCCTGGAGTCACTCCGGAAGATGCAGTGTTCCTCCTTGATAAAGTGGCCACTCAGGACGATGTCCTGCCGTCTCTCTGCATCCTCCCGGCCCACTCTGCAAGGGGACACGTGTCACCTTGGCTGGGCTCAGCACGTCCATGCTGCCACCCATCGGCCTCTCCTGGGGAACGCTGAGGTGCGTGTCAGTGGGGGTTCAGGGGTGTGCACCGCCAAATGCTTGTGCGTAGAGTGGCTGCAGGAAGCAAGTGCAGGGGTGGGAGCCAGCTGCCTGTCCCCACCCTCGGCCCTGGTGGTCATAGGAAGCAAGAGTAGGGTGGGGGTGGGAGCTGGCTGCCCCTGGCCCTGGCCCTGGCCCTGGCGGCTGCAGGAAGGGAGCACAGGTGGGTGGGACACGGGGTCTGTCAGCCCCCTGGAGGGTGGGCAGGACGGGGGGAGATTCTGTCAGCCCCCTCGCAGGTGGGTGGGACGGGGGGTCTGTCAGCCCCGTGCACCTGGTGGTCCCGTCCTTGATGTAGTACAGGAGGCACTCGGACATCAGCGGGTCCTCATTCAGGTTGACCAGATGTGGCGTCTGGAAGGAGAAGGAGGGCTGCCCTGTCCTGGGGAGGGGGCTGGGGCCCCCTACCTCTCCAGAGACTGCTGCACAGGGGGCATGGGCCATGAGGAGGAAAGCCGGCAGGACGGGGCTCTGCCAGGATGCCCTGGCTCTGCGCCCCCCTTCAGCTGCCCAGCAGGCTGGCTGCCTGTACCAGCAGTGAGGAGGGGAGCAGGCCAGGCCCGCCCGGTGGACAGCTCCCACTGTGCTGCAGGGCAGCGGCGTGCTCGGGGCTCAAGGAGGGGCTGGGGGCCCCCAGTGCCACCACTGCATCCAGCCTCAAGCTGTGCCCAGACACAGGGAGCCCACAGTGGGGGGGGGGGCAACGGTGAGGGGCTCAGGGCCCCTCTGCTGCCCAGGAGCAGAACAGATGGGGCTGTGCACGTGGGGTTCAGAGAAGCCCCCTGGGTGCCAATGTGGGCCATCTTAGTGACACCTGCATGTGCTACCTGCCAAGGTGGGGTGGGAGTAGCCCTGTCCCCCAGGCACACCCCAGAGACCACCCTCCACATCCCCCTGCTCCCAAGGCAGGCCTGGGCACGGGGGAAGCCGTCTCCACAGGTGTCCATCAGGGGCCCATCTCCCCCGGTGGAGTCATGGGGTGTCTTTGAGGCTCTTTGACAGTGAGTGCTGCCCTCGGTGATAGGGCTCCTCCCAGGCAGGACCCTGGGACCTTCTCCCCGGGGATCTCCAACCCCACAGCCTCCATGGTCACAGCCTCCAGGAAGGCACCAGGCACCAGCAAAGGCAGAAATCCTTTCCCTCAAACCGCCGACCACAGGCCCAGCTCTGCAGGGGAAGGTGGAGCTAGGACCCCAGTGGCGACCATCCCTAGAGAGCCTTCCTGGTTTTGAGCTCAGTCTCCTGGGACCATGGGCTGATCTGTGAGTGTGTGGACGTGTGCTCACGTGTGTGTGCATATGCATGTACATGTGCAGGCATGTGCATGTATGCATGTGTGTGCACGTGTGTGCAAACCTATATGTGTATGTGCATGCGTGTGGGAGGTCTCAGCTCCAAGAATCACCAAGGTGACCCCCTCGAATGGTGTGCTGGACCTGCCTGGGCCACTGCATTGGGTGAAGCTGTGGGGGGTGGGGGTGCTGCTCTATTAGAGGAGGGGGACTCCAGCTAGAAGCCACCACCTCCCAGTGAGGGAGTGTCTATTGCAGGAGCCAGGCCTGGGTGGGAGAGGTCCCTGCAGGAAGTGGTGGATACACCTGTCCCCACTCCCGTCCAGCAGTGCAGGGTCCTCACCCTAGCAGGTCTGCAGCCCAGGCCCCAGGTTCTGAGGGGTGTCCCAGGCCCCCAACCTTGAGGGGCTGAGCTCACTCAGGCAGCTAACTGACCATCTGATCGCTAAAGCCACAGGTAGGCCAAAGGTGGAGGGTGGGACATGGCTCCTTCAAAGAGGGGGTCTGGCTGTGGGCAGGAGGTGGCACCCTCTTCAGCCCCCAGGGCCACCCCACCCCACACTCTACTCCCAGGACCCCTGTGGCCTCCCAGGAAGCCAGGACATGCAGGTGGGCACCCCAGGGAGGGCTGGGGGCTGTGGAGGGGCTGGCCCTACCTTTTTCGGAGAGAACACGCCCAAGGTGCCCCCGTCCTCCCTCATGGCTACACCCATCTCGGCCAGCAGGGCTTCCCTGGGGACAGAAGCTGGGTCAGCTGAACCACCTCAGGCCCCGCTGCCTGGCTCAAGTGGGCGAGGGGATCCCACAGTCGTGGGCTGAGAGCAGGGTGGGGAATGAATCCTATGAACTCTGCAGGGGAGTCAGCCCTAAGCACTCCTGAAGTCACTGGCAGATGTCTACACCCTGCCCACAGGGGGGCTGGCGGTGACATAGGGTGTGGGTTTGTCCCACGGCTGGGACACGGGGTCCTGCGGTCCAGGAGCCCAGCCCTGGAGATCAGCACCCAGTGCCAGTGCTCCTGGGCTGGGAGCCCCACCAGTTTCTATGAGCTCACTGGCCACTGCCTCCCAGTTTCTGGGAGCTCACTGGCTGCCCCCCCAGTTTCCATGAATTCACTGGCTGCTCCCCCCCAATTTCTGTGAGCCCGCTGGCTGCTCACCCCCAGTTTCCCTGAGCTTGCTGCCCGCTCCCCCAGTTTCTCTGAGCCCGCTGTCCTCTCCCCCCAGTTTCCCTGAGCCCGCTGCCCGCTCCCCTCCATTTTTGTGAGCCCGCTGGGCAGCCCCCAGCCTCAGCCGCCCGAGCCCCGGAACCCACCTCTCCATCCGGATTGCCTCTGTGCGCCGCAACTTCTCCTCCCACGTCTCATTCAGCTCCGCAATAATCTTCTCTGTCTCCTGGGGACCGAGAGGGCATGGGGGGTCAGCAGAGAGCCCACGACCCGTCTGGCCCCAGAGCACCAGGGACCAGGTGCCCGGAAAGAGGCTCAGGGTCAGCAGTCGCCCCACAGGGGGGCAGGGAAGAGGGCATCTGGGACGCCGAGACATGGCTTCTCAAGCCCACTGTCCCTCCACTGCTGAGAACCCTGGGGTCCTCGTCTTCACAATTTCTGGACCCCGCACCTCCCGACACCCGCTCCATGTCTCCTGTCCCAGCACCGCACCCCAAGTGGGCTCCACACCCGCCACACCCAAGTGAGAGCTCACATCCCAAGTAGGTCACCCACATCCAGAGGCACCCCGAAGCCCTTAGTGGACCCCATCCCCAAAGTGATCCCCACCTCAAGCAGACCCCCTCGTCCTAATGGGATTCTCACAGCCCAAGTGGATCCCCATGTCCAAGGCCACACTCAAGGCCACAAGCAGCCCCATTCCGCACATCAGCATGGGGTCCAGACTCAAGCCTCTGCCCTCACAGTCCTCAGTCTCCCAGGCCCGAGCTGACCCTCCCGGGCCCCTGCCTGCTGCAAGAGTGCATGGATGAAGCCCCTCATGCAACAATGCCCACTGGGGAGTCAGGGAGAATGACTACAGGGCAGAGGGCTTGGGCGGCCCTATGCATGTGCAGTGTCAGATGGAACACTCCAGAAGGGGTGCAGAGCTATGGGGCAAGCCGCTGCCCTCCTCAACACTCAGAATCCCAGGGTGGTGCCTGGACACAGCCGGCAAGGAGAACGAACAGGGACAGGGACAGGGACGGCTCCCTGCTCACTCAGCACTCCCTGATCCCTGAGCCTCATGCAGTGACATCACCTCCAGGTGAAGCTTGGGGTCTCTTCTCCTCCACGGGTGCACCCACACTCAGGGCTGGGCCCTACTGGTGCCCCCACCAGCATGGGGTGCTTTCTGCCCACCAGTCTATCTGGGAGGCCCCTAGCCTGGGACCCCTGAAAGGACCAGGCTGCCTTGGAACTGGGGACTGGTCCCAGCCCTTTGTCCTGCCTGGACCCTGTGGCCACACAAAGGCCTTCTGCTGGCCACTCCAACCTGACCCTGTGTGGGGAAGGGTCCACCCTGCCTCCCCCAGGACCCCAGCCACCCTCACCTTCAGCCGTTCGATGGCTTCCTCACTGCCCGGAGCAAACAGGATGCGCTCGTGCAGGCTGGACACGGAGGCGGCGCGGCTCGACAGGGCTGACAGCGAGGACGAGGGGCTCATGCCCACCAGTGCGTTGGTCACTGTGGGGAGAAGGTCAGGGACGTGAGCGTTCTGGAGGCAGGGCCCGTCTGTGAGGTGGGCGGGCTGACAGGAGGAAAGAAGAGCCGGGGGACGCTCAAGGTGGGGGAGGGGCAGAGCCAGAGCGGCAGCGAGGCAGCAGGACGGCGGGGCAGCGGGGCAGCCAAGCCCCGGACAGCAGACAGCGCATGCCAGGCCCCCGCACCTCCTTGCCCAGGCCAGCCTTCTCCCACCTGCTCTACAGGCAGCGCGGACCGGCCGCCTGCCCGTGTACACACCTGGGGACCCCACACCGGGCCACACAGTGCCCTGGGCCTCCACTGACCTTGCACTTTCCTGTCCCCTGCCCCTCACTGGGACCTCGTGGTTGCGCCACCACCTGCACTGCCACTTCCCAGCAGTTGGCCCCTACCCTTGTCCTCCGTGGTGCCCGTGTCTCTTCCCACATGCCCCCCTCCAGCCCGTCAGCCCCGCTAGGCATAGGAGATGGTGCAGGGACCGTCCCTGAGGAAGGTGAGCTGGAGACCGTGGGGGAGCCTCTCTTCCCTCCTCCACCCACAAGTCTGAGGGGCTGAGGTCTCTGGCACTGGGAGCCTCTAGAGCCCAGACACAGTTCAATGTCCCCAAGGCTGGAAGGGGGGCTGTGACCCCCAGTGGGCTGGGGTTCCTGGGCCCCTCCTCATGAAGCAGACACACAGCAGAACAGCAGCAAACACAGGACGGCACGGGCAGGGAAACTGAGGCTGCCTGCAGCCCCAGGGAGGGGGGCCTCAGCCTGGTCCTCGGCCTGGAGCCAGGCCTGAGGTCAGCGGGAGGCTGGCAAGGGGATGTGCCAGAGCCCTGGTGAGCATTTCCAGGAGGACGGGCCTTGGGTCCAGAGGGGTCAACCGGAGAAAATTTGGGGCGAGGGGGAACTGGGCCAGGGGCCGGAGGAAGACCAGGCTGCCTGTGGCACTGACACTGTGAGTGTCCAGGCCTCTGTGAGTGCAGGTGGGGTCAGAGAGACTGGCCTCGGCCACATGCTGTCTCACAGGGGCGTGCTACACCTTGGCCTCTGTAGGCTTCAGTTCTTCATATAAAATGGGGGCTGACCAGGGGCTCACAAATTAGGGGAGGTCCCATCTACCAGGGTACCCTAAAAGCAGAGCAGGCCTCAGACCTCCTGCTCCAAGAGGGAGGGCAGAAGCCGCCCCGCCTCCTGGGCCAGGTGCAGCTGTGCCGCCCTGTGCCTGACGGGGCTGGACCAAGCAGAGCGCGGGCAGCAAGGGGAATACACACATTTGGGTCCTCCAGGCACAGTGTTGGCTAAGGCGGGAGAGCGTGGGGAAAGGAAAGACAGAAACAGAAGAGCAAGTTTGTCTCCAGGGCCCCCACCATCTCCATTGCAGACCAGGCAGCCAGGGGCAGGGCTGGAGGTCTCAGGGTGGTGGGGGTCTTCAGTGCAGCGACATAGAGACCACTGCAGCCTAGCACCCCGGCCTGAGGGAATGGCTTCTAGGAAAACTTTGTGGCTGGCATGGGCCAGCACAAAACCAAGACCAGGTGGTTCTATCCAGGCCAAGGCCTGGATCCATGCCCCAGCCTCCCACCCAGAGGTGGTGTTTCCCAGGGGCACAGAGCAGGGACTGGGGTTGGGCCAGAAGGTGCTGTGAGGGCTGCAGCCTGTGACAGTAGTCCCAGGAAGGGGGCCCTGAGCTCTGAGGCCCAACTCGGGTGTCCATGATGTGACCTTGACCATGGATATACAGCCGGTCTGAGTTTGAGTGAGCTCTGAGTCTGAGCTCACTGCCCTGCCTGGACCAGGCAGACACTCACTGTGGCAATGTCACTGAGACCCTGAGTGTATAGGAGGTCCCACAGCCCCCTAGCCTAAGGCCCACAGCCCTGCCCTGCCCTGCCGGGGCAGACACTCACTGTCTGTGATGTCACCAAGACCCTGGGCATATAGCAGGTCCCACAGCCCCCTAGCCTAAGGCCCACAGCCCTGCCCTGCCCTGCCGGGGCAGACACTCACTGTCTGTGATGTCACCGAGGCCCTGGGCATATAGCAGGTCCCGCAGCCCCCTAGCCTAAGGCCCACAGCCCTGCCCTGCCCTGCCGGGGCAGACACTCACTGTCTGTGATGTCACCGAGGCCCTGGGCGTATAGCAGGTCCCGCAGCCGGGTCACTTCATCCTTCAGCTCGCGGATTAGCTTGTTGTTGGGGTCCTCGTTGATGATGGCATTGCAACGGATCTGCTTGGCCCGGTCAGCATACCTGGGCAGCAAAGGCAGGTGTGGGCTGTGCCTGGGGCAGACTCATGCCCAGCAGGGCCAGGGGCACCCAGAGCCCCACTTGGGCAGACCCAGCTAGGTGGGGGGCCTCAGAGGCTTTGGCACAGCCTGACACAGAGCAAGTAGTCATCCCCACTGCAAGTCACTGGGCAGCCACTGGGCCACTGGCTAGAAGAGACCTGCAGGTGGGGTCACCAGGCCCCACATAGGGAAATTGAGGCCCAGGGAAGGGACAGAGTGGTGTCCTCTCCTCATGCTGAAGGTTTCAGCATCTGGCCTGTGGTCCCAGAGAGGAGAGACCAAGTGCAACCACAAGGAGGCATGAAGAACAGAATAAGAAACTGTACATGTCCGTATGCTGTACCCATACCGCGTATATGCAAATATCCCTGGATATGCTATGAATAAGGACATGTACCTATATGAGACATACATCCTTTCATTTCTTACTACTGGTTGTGCACAAGGAGAAGAGGCCACGGGACTCTGATAACCAAGCAGCCTCTTGCAGGGCTGGAGGCCCCAGGTTGCCTGCTCAGGACGCCCACCCTACAGCCAGAGGGATCTTATCAAGCACAGGCCCCTTGCTAATTAAAAACCCTTAGTGTCTCTCATGGTTGACAAGTGTGCAAATGGCTTAACCCAGCAAACAGAGCTGGCCAGCTTGATGCCATGGAACCCTCTGCCACCTGCAGCCCCAAAGTGCACCCCATAAGGTGGAGGGAACAGAATAAAGGACATGAAGTGCCAGAAGCCCCAGAGCAGTCACTTTGAGCCTCAGAGTTAAAGGAGAAATCTCTCTTAAGAGGCACCCCCTTTCTCACTGGTGTTCCCAAACTGGGCACAGAGGGAGCCATTCCCACCCCTCTCCCACCCAAGGGAACCCACCTGAGTGTGCTAAGGGTCTCGTCATAGTTGATGTCTGCGGGGCTCAGGGCTGCCACCATTGCTGTCCTTGAGTTACCACCTAGGGGAAGAAAACCAGCTCACGCCCACTGGAGGCTCCAGCCCCACTGTCGTGTCCTCTCCAAGAACAGCCACATGGTCATCCACAAATAGCCAAGGGAGTCCGCCCTCCCCAGCTGCACTGTGGTGAGTGCACACAAGCGGGGAGAGGTCTCTGGCCTCTGCGGTCACTCCTCCATCACGGCACCAGGCCCGGCCTCCTTGGCCACCCTTCGTCAGTGCACCAGGCCTGGCCTCCTCGGTCACCTCTCCATCACTGTACCCAGCCTGGTCCCCTTGGCCACCCTCCATCACTGCACTAGCCTGGCCTCCTTGGTCACCCTTCCTCAGTGCACCAGGCCTGGCCTCCTTGGGCACCGTGACCTCATTGCTCCAGGCCTGGCCCCCTTGGCCATCCCCCATCCCTGCACCAGGCCAGCCCCCTTGACCACACTTCCTCACTGCACCAGCCCCTCCATGATCTCTCTCTCACTCCATCCTCTTCCTATATTTGAGGCCATTTTACAAGAACCAGTCTCCCCTTCCACATAAAAAGAGGAAAGTTGTAGAGTCTCATGGCATCTACCCCAAGATGAAGACAGTTGGTATCTGATAATTTTTTCACACATTTTGTCATTGTCTTTGAACTTTTTTTCTCAATATTAAACATGAGATTCCTAGCCCAGAGTGGCCTGGGCCCAGCATCAAGTAATTCTCTGGGTGAGGAAATGGACCATTCTAATTTTGTACCATCACCAGGTCATTTGTGGGGCCCTAACAGAGTAAACACCGGGTATTCGGTCCTCCCAGCAGCAGCTGCCTCGAAGTTCTGAGACCTGCCCACTGCCCCCCCCCCCGGCCATACCCTCAGAACCCTGCCCTGTCTTGACACTTGCCTCACCTGCCTGATCTCAGGAGCTTGTGTCCGGTGGACTGCCCAGTCTCCATGGACTGAGAGGTGATGGTGTGAAGGGCCTGTGATGGATTGAACTGGGTCCCCCACCAATGTGTGTATAAATCTTAAGCCCCAGATCTGTGGATGGAACCCCATTCGGAAACAGGGTCTCCTTTGTCATGTCAGTGAGGCCATATCAGTGTCCAGTGCGTCTTAACCCAATCACCTTTGAGACATGAAGACCAGAGATGGGGGAAGACAGAACACCAAGAAGAACACGGGAGGAGCTGAGACAAGGCTTTTCCCTCAGAGCTGGCACCCTGAATGTGGACTTTGAGCCCCCTAAACTGTGAGAAACTAAATTTATGTTCCTCAAAGCCGCTCATCTGCGGTATTTCTGTTACAGCAGCACTAAGACAGGTCCCAAAGAGAGTGGAGGGGCTCTCCTGCTCCCACTCTGGGGACTCCTTCAAGCCCCACAGGATCAACCTGGGGTGCCTTGTGGGAGAGGCCTCTCTCCTGGCTCTTCAGATGAAGGGACACACATTGCTGTGACACTCCTGTCCTCACTCGTGAGGTCAGCCCCCAGGGGCTGCTGTCTGCACCCTCCTCTACCACTTAATGCTGGCCAGGGCTGGGAGTCTGAGCTGTGTAGGGGCTGAGAGGCCTCTGGCTGGTTCTGGGGTGCAGGGCCAGCCAGCCGGGGCTCCACATGCCTCAGCCATGCAGCCCAGGAAGGGCAGGGGACCCTGGTTGTCTATGCTCTCCAGTCAGCCCAATTTCAGTTTACCTTACGGGCCTCAGCCTACCCAACAGTGGTTACACTGGGGAGCACCCCAAGGTCATTTTGTGGGGAAAAAGGATTTCAGCCTCCATGGGCTAGACTAGCCCCTCCTCACCTCTTTCTCACTGGCTCAGAATTCAGGTGGGAGAAGGTCGTGACAGTCCCTCAAAACACAGCCACCAAGCAGTGCTCCCCAGAACCATGTAGTCCTAGGCCCCCTGTTACACTTGGGGAAACCAAGGCCCAGAGGGGTAGGGACTTGGTAGGGTCTCACAGCTGACCTGAACCAGGAGCTCTGGCTTCGGTGGAGGCGTTCTCTGGAACCTGTGGGGCCATCCTGGTTCCTGTAGGAGCTCCCCTTAACCTATTGCTGGCTGCACCCAGGCCCTCTGCAAGGGCGGACACAGCTGACCGTACCTTCCAGGCTCACCTTTGGGCCTTGGCCCAGAAATGGCGAGAGGCCTCCTTCGGTCAGGCATCCCATCCCAGTGGAAAGGAGAGGCAGATGTTGGCCTGGGCTCACAGTTGGAACCCTGGAGTGGGCGACCCCGCTGCACGCTCACCCAGGTTAGTGGGCAACCCCCCGGAGTGGGTGACCACTCGGAGTGGGTGACCCCACTGCATGCTCACCCAGGTTTTCCCGGAGAAGCCAAGTCAGCACGGAATCCCGGTATGGGATGAAGTCTGTCTTCTTCTTTTTCTTGTTCTGTGCGGAAGGAACATTCAAGGGGTCAACCCTTAGCCCCTGAAGGGTGGAGAGAAGGAGGGAGGGAAACACCAAGGTCTGCCTGCACAGCCCCCCAAAGCCAAATGCTGGGGCCTGGGCACACCCTCAGGAGGTAAGTGCACCCTCAGGAGGTAAGTGTACCCAGGCTGTCCAAGGCCTCTCTCTGCCTAAACCCCAGGGTGCCACCTGCAGACGCCTCCACTCCAGACCAGAACCAAGAGCTTGCTAACACTTCCCTCAGGCTCCTCCTGCCTCCATCCCGGCTGCATGTCTGGGACACACGGCCAACTTGCGCCCAGAAGTGCTGACACCACTGCCTATCCACTACTCTGTCAGAAAGACCAATCTGAGGCCATAGCCCTTTCTCCTACACCCCATCACTGAATGTGGCATTCCGGGCTCCATAGCCTCCACCAGCCATCCACCAAGCTTACCTCCCCCTGTGCACACAGAATTTGCCTTCCCTCACACATGTAGCCCACACATCCTCACACACACGTCATACAAGTCTTCACAGTTCTTCGCAATCCCTCACCAGTTCTTCATACAGTTCCTCTCACAGTCCCAAAAAGTTCCCTCAGACAGTTCCTACAGTTACTTCCGTGGTTTCCTGCACAGTTCCTTCAACAGTTTCTCACAGTTCCTCATTCAATTTCTTACACTATTTCAGAATCTCTCACGAAGTTCCTTAGATGGTTCCCCACACAGCTCCTCAGTTTTCCACACAGTTCTTGACACTGTTGCTCTCACCTTTCCACAGTGTGCCACTGTGGTCTTCATACAGATCCACACACAGCTCCTTATGACGTTCTTCATGCAGTCCCTCACACAAGTCCTGTGCAGTTCTTCACACAATTCCTCTCAGAGTTCCACACACAGTTCCTCCTGCACTTCCCCGTGCAGCTTCCCACAATTCCTCACACTATTCCGTCTTCATGCAGTTCCTCACAGTTCTCACACATTTCCACACACAGTTCCCCACGATTTTTTAGTTTCCCACACAGCTCTTCACACAGTTCCCCTCACAGTTCTTTGGTTCCTCACATAGCTCTCCCCCAGATCCTCACACAGTTCCCCACACAGCTCCTGCACCCTCAGGAGGTAAGTGCACCCTCAGGATGTAAGTGTACCCAGGCTGTCGGATACATGCAGCCGGGATGGAGGCAGGAGGAACCTGAGGGAAGTGTTAGCAAGCCCTTGTTTCTGGTCTGGAGTGGAGGCGTCTGCAGGTGGCACCCTGGGGTTTAGACTCCTGGAGTCAGCCCGCTCACTGCCTGCCAGGTCCACCAGGCTGATCTTGCTCACCTGCGAAGGAGGGGCACACAACGGCCTAAGGGGCCAGCATGGCCAAGGGCCTGAGGCTGTCACTGTCACCATGGGCAGCTGTACTCGGGCCAGACACGGGGCAAGCAGCTCTCACGGAGGTCACAGACCCCCTCCCCTCCCATGTCAACAGCGGATCAGGAACAGCAGCCAGGCAGACCGGGTTCGTTCCTCATACAGTTCCCCTCACAGTTCTTCAGTTCCTCACGCTGTTCTCCCCCAGATCCTCACACAGTTCCTCACATGGTCTTCACACATTTCTAAAGAGTTCCTCACATGGTCTTCCCAGTTCCCCACACAGCTCCTCTCACAGTTCTTCGGTTCCTCACACAGCTCTCTCCCAGATCCTCACAGTTCCTCACATGGTCTTCACACACCTCCCCCACACAGCTCCTTATACAGTTCCCCTCACAGTTCTTCAGTTCCTCACACAGCTCTAACCCAGATCTTCACAGTTCCTCACATGGTCTTCACACATTTCCCCACACAGCTCCACACACAGTTCCTGATACAGTTCTTTGGTTCCTCATGTAGCTCTCCCCCAGATCCTCACACAGTTCCCCACATGGTCTTCACACATTTCCCCACACAGCTCCTCATACAGTTCCCCTCACAGTTCTTCGGTTCCTCACACAGCTCTCTCCCAGATCCTCACAGTTCCTCACATGGTCTTCACATAGCTCTGAAGAGTTCCTCACATAGGCCCTTTCACCTACATGGTAGAGGGGCTTGTCTCCCTGCCTACCTGGCTCCTCCTCACCCCTCAGTCTTTGCCTGAGAAACTGTCCTGCCCACACAAACTAAACACCATCTCTCTTGCAGGTTTCCTTCCTTTGTGGAGTTCACCTCAATTCACAATTACATTTTATTTGTCATTTTGTTGTTCATTATATGTCTCCCCCATCATTCTGTGGCCCCATAATGTCTCTTTGTTCACCGCTACAGCACAGCGCCTGGTTCAGAGTCAGGCTCAGTGAGGTAAGTGAGCTGGTGAAGAGGTGAAACATGCTGCCAAGACCATCACAGGAGAGCCGGGGTCGGGGGCACACTGCTCCAGGGCCCTCCCCTGCAGGGAGTGAACCCTGCTCCCCAGGGCATGAAGAGAGCTGCTTACCTTGTTGGGCCCAGAGTCCTGAAAGAGAAAAGACAGCGAGTCTGAGAGCCTGTAGTGAGGCCAGGGCCCCAGAAGGAGAAGGATGGGTTCCAGAGGACAAAGGTGCAGGCCAAGGACCGAGGCAAGCAGGGAATCGATCTCCACTGCCCGGCCATGGTCCCTGCCTTGAACTGGTTTTGACAGACAGGCCAAGGAGTAGTGTGACCACTGGGCCACTGTCACCTGGTGGCCCTTACTTCCTCACCCACGACAATTTTGGAGTAGGGTGGTCTTCTGCTCGCTAGCCTTTCCTAGCCTGAGACCTGGGCATCCTGGAGAGCAAACAGTGCTGCCTGCCCCACAGGGCCTGGCAAACCTAGTCCCTTACCTCCAAGAGCTGTGGGCTCCCCCAGGAGGTCAGCCTGGCTTGGGCCAATGAACGTCAGATGCTGACCTTGCCTTCCCAGAAGGACATCAGCAGAACCCTCCCCATGCCAGTGGTGGCCCTCAGAAGAGACCTGTGAGTCAAGTGGCAGTGCAGGCCTGCCCCATTTCACAGGCAGGGAAATGGAGGCTCAGGGTGTGACAAGGATCACCACTCCATCTCTGGTTTCATGACCCCTCATTTCTGGTGGGCCATCTTCCCAGAGACAGGCCTGGTCCCTGATGTGGCAGGCTCCCCGCCTCTGTGGAGGGCAGGAGGAGAGGTGTCTCCACAGTCCCACCCCTCAGTTGGTCCTAGAAGCCCAGAGCCAGCTCACCATCTCGGCCAGAGCAGAGATGACCTTCCCCAGCGTGGTCAGGGACTTGTTGATGTTGGCTCCCTCCTGTGCACAGAAGACAGTCGGTGTCAGGAAGCTCAGGAGCCACTTGCTCCTACGTGAGCCCGGGGCCTGATCTGTTTGCTGAGGGGCCATGGCCACGGGCCCTGGCTGCTGACCCCAGGGCCACCAGGGCCACAGGAGCCAGGCAGAAAGCCCAGTCGGCAAGGCAGTTAATTAGCATTTCTCCACCAGAGTTCTAGGGATGCCTCACACATGCCTGTGCCACCCCCATCTGGGATGACTTCCAGAGATCCTTCCATTGGGTCATGGGGACCAGGTAGTCCTCAGTAAATGAAGATTCTCCTTCCTGGCATCAGGACTGTTTTGACCAGAAGGCGTCCACTTGGGGAGTTGGACAGCTAGCTTGTGTCCAGCCTTGCAGCTGCCTCAGCAGCAGCCTGTGTCAATACCCCAGAGGACGCAAGGAGCTGTGAGACCCCTGGAGGTGCTGTGGTCCCAGGGTCTCTGTCCTTCCCTGGCTGCTGGAGACCCACCCCTTGCCCTCTGACCCAGTGCAGGGGCCGGGACTGGCTGGAGGGCCAGCCCAGGGGCCCTACCTTGAGGCGTGTGCCCTTGGCCCCAGTGGAGTCAGCCCGCTCACTGCCTGCCAGGTCCACCAGGCTGATCTTGCTCACCTGCGAAGGAGGGGCACACAACGGCCTAAGGGGCCAGCATGGCCAAGGGCCTGAGGCTGTCACTGTCACCATGGGCAGCTGTACTCGGGCCAGACACGGGGCAAGCAGCTCTCACGGAGGTCACAGACCCCCTCCCCTCCCACGTCAACGGCGGATCAGGAACAGCAGCCAGGCAGACCGGGTTCGGCAGGGCCCGAGTGTTGGCCTGCACCCCCAGGCTTGAGGGGATCTGGGGCACCGTCTGGAGCACACAACTGCCCTGCGGTGCCCAGAGAAGGCCTGCGCAGGGTGGCATTGGGGGAGCAGGGCCTCCGAGAGTGAAGGCAGGGTAGCCACAGAATGCCCTGTCCCCAGGGTCACCCTCTGCCCCCCACCTCACCCCTCCAGAAAGACAGGGCCCAGGAGAAACCCACCACAGGCAGCAGGCTGAGTGACATTTCTGCAGGGGCCAGCTGGGAAGGATGTCCTCATGGCCTCTCCTTTGGGACCCCCAAACTGCACCAGGACCCCCTGCCTCTGCCTACCCCTATCTGGGCACCTGGGGGGTCCGCCTGCTGGCCTGCAGACAGCATGGGGGGCCGAGTAGGTAGCTGGGGGTGGACCTCAGTGGGGCCCCAAGTCTGCATAGGACCATAGCCAGCAGCAGGCAGAGGTGGATCCTGTCTGCGGCCTGAGCCTTTCCCCACCAGGCCCTGGATGCCAAGACAAGGGCCTCAAAGGCCTGGTGCCCTGACCAAGCCACCCACCTTCTCGGTGGTGATGTTAGTCTCTGCATCATGGCGCTTCTGGGTGAAGATGATGTTGAAGACAGCGTGAGAACGGCTGCTGGTCTCGTTCATGTTCGTGGCTGCCACGGTCCTGGGGACAGCAGGACAGGATGTCACCCCCAACCCCCAGGCAGGTGAGGGGACAGAATGCCCTGGTTGGTTCTCAGGCCTTCCCCTAGCTCCGGGCTGCCCCAGCGTGTACCCTCAACCGGGGGAGCAACTGCAGAGGGCACTGCCCCTTACAGGTGAGAGCAGGGGGCACCTGCCCCAGGGCTGCAACTGGGGGCAGGCTGGAGAGCAGGTCCTCCTCTAAGAGGGTCTCATGAGGATAGGGTGGTCCACACATCACCCTGTACAGACCTGGCCTTATTCCCCGAGTCCATGAGGTCCTGGATGTCATTGTAGGAGGTGACGGCCAGCTTGGAAAGGTCCTCCACGTAGGGCCCCAGGAGCGGGTGCTCTCTCACCCGGAGGTTCCCCTTGTTCTTGGGATTCAGGAGGTCACGGACACGCTCACAGTAAATCTCCATGTAGCTGACCTACAGCCCAGAGGGACCACCATCAGTGCCCCCATGGCGGACTCCAGACCCTCCCTCGAAGGAGCCAGGGCCACAGCAACCCCTGGGGCCATGAAAGGAGGGTCCACCACAGCCTACCCACCCCCTACCCCCCACAGCCACCCTGGGGATTCGACAAAGGCTCAGGACAAATCTGGTCACGCCCAGAGGCCCCTTGGTGCAGCCAGCCCGGGCCTTACAGTCGAGATGTCGGGGCTACTGTCCCAGCGCCCTGTCTTCCACTCCCACCTGTGCCTTGCAGACACACTGGCCCATGGTGTCGTGTGGCCAGTGACTGACCAGCTAAGGGGCCAGGCCACTGTCCCTAGAAACTATCCCAGACCAGACTTGGCCCAGCCATCCCAAGGAAGGGGGCAGGAGGGACGCACCTCCACGGAGTAGGACATGTTGTCATTGGTGGTGTCGTTGATCCGGGAGAAAAGGTCTTCACAGAGCTACACCAGTGACGGGAACAGTGAGGAAGGAGGGACACGTGAGGCTGGGGGCATCAGGGGCCCCAGAGCCACGTCTCTGCCATGCTCTGGGCACTTCCATCACCAAGGCACTGATGAGGCCTTGGCAGAGAATCTGAGACTCGATCCCTTCCTGGGGATCACACTGCCACTCCCCCTCCCCAGGGCCAGGCCTCATCTGTGCAGGTTGGGCCCGTCCATCCCACAGACAGGAGCAGGCTCGGCACTCCTCTCCTCCTCCCTGACCATGCAAAGCCATGACCAGCTGGGACCACAGATGGACGTGGGTGGAGAGGACACTCTGTCCAGGGTCCCTCACCTCTCCATCCCAGGATCCAGGTCGTCAACCCTCAAAGCCAGTCCCGACCCTCCGCCCAGTTTACCTCCCCACCGGGCATGGCGGGGAGGGGGCCCCGAGTCTCTCCCAGGCTGCTCTGGGGGGTATCCAGCAAGGTTTCCCAGCCCTCAGGTATGCCCCCAGCTGTCCCAGCCTCCTGCCTGTGTGTCCCCGACCCTGAGCCGCCTGCTCCGTGTGTGTGCCCCCAGCCCGGCCCCCGCGTGTGCCCTGGGCTCGTGCCTGTGGGATGATGCCCTGCTGGTCCTTCTCCTGCTTGCCCATCATGGTGTAGGACTTGCCGGCGCCCGTCTGCCCGTAGGCAAAGATGCAGACGTTGTAGCCCTCGAAGGCGTGCTGCAGCATCTCCTCGCCGATATCTCGGTACACCTGCTTCTGGGAGGCGTAGTTGATGTCTTCGGGCTGGGGGACGGGGAGGGCGGCAGTTAGAGGCCGGCAGCCAGGAGGGCCCGGCCCCATGGCCCCCCACATCCCCACTGGCTCACCGAGGTGTGGGACCAGTAGGAGTAGTCAAAGCTGAAGCTTTTGGGCGTCTCCTTGGGCTGCTTGGGGTTGACGATGGCTGTGGGGAGGAGGCTCAAGGTTAGAGAGTAACACCTTGCCATCGAGTCGATTCTCACTCATAGTCACTGCGGCCCCTCGTCCCCAGCCTGACCCCAGGAGACAACAGAGTTCCCCAGAGGCAGGGCCTCGCAGGTCTCTCCTGGTGCAGGTGTGAAACATGAGGAGGGAGAAATGAGGAGAGGCTCCCTAATGACAGAGCCCACGGTGGACAGCCCAGTCCAAGAGTCTGCACCCCCAGAGCAGGCAAGGGGTCCACAGGCCCTCAGGGGACACAGCCTGGCTAGGGAGAACCCATCTGCAGACAGATGAGCCGCTGGTCCCTCTCTGAGATGCAGCCCACTGCTGCTAACACCTGTGGCAGCCTGCAGCCCCCGAGGGAAGCCGAGTGGCTGTCTCCTGCAGTGGGGCAGGCCCACATCCTCCCGTCTCCCCAGGCCCCAGCTGCTCTGCACGCACAAGCCCCACAGCACCGGGAGGCCCCACGTGAGTCCATGCTCTGGGTGTGTGCCACGTGTCAGGTCTGCAGGGGTGGGGTGCCAGCTGTGCCCCTCTCAAGACACCACTCACCTCACTCAGTCCCTGTGGGGGGACTAGGTCTGTTCTAGGTTTGGCCATGGGACAGTTTTCCATGTCCTTCTGCACAAGTCTCTCTGAGGTCAGACAAACCCGACTGACACCACAGTGTCTGTCCCTGGCCAACAGCCCACCAAGCTGCAAGCCCATTCCAGGTACCCGGAAGCCCCCTCCCCAGGACAGGACCAGGTCAGGTGTCCCCACGGCTGCACCCTTGGAACTAGTTGTGGTATGGGGACAGTAGGAGGCAGGTGACTGGCCACCACAAGGCACAGAGGGAACATTGCCCATGTCATGTCTGGGAGCAGAGGCGAAGAGCGGGTGGCCTGGTCTCAAACTCCTACTGGGATCTGGGTAATGGCTCCCAGAGGCCCGGCCACCAGGACTCCAGCGTGGCTCACCATGGAGACCACAGTTGTACCCCTTCTCACGTCTGGAGCTGCCGGAGCCACAGAGCACTGCTCACCTCAATGTCACCTCTGCACACCTCACTGCATGGCAGGCCAGGGTCTCCCACAGGCCAGCTCCCAGAGCCCCACCTGCACCCCACGTGGCCTCCAGCAGTGATCCTATTGCTGAGGGCACTTGGCATGCACCACACATGGTCAGGGAGCTCCCTAAGGTGGGCTCCCCAGGACAGACAGGTGATGCGAGACAGCTGACAGTGAGGGATAGGGCTGCCACAGAAGGTCACCAGAGTGGTGAATGGGTCCGTGGCCACGTCAGCCATCAGAGAAGCGCCCAGCCCTTGGGTTCTCCCACCCCCCTCGCTCCCACCTTGGACTTGACCTCTCTCCCCTTCGTGTCCTGTGGTGTGGAAGGGAAACACCAGCTTCCATTATTGATGGGCCCGAGCCCAGAGATGGACGTCCTCTCTCCAAGTCACACAGCAGGACGGGAAGCAAAGTCCTCCAGGTTTGCTTTCTTCAGACACCTCCCAGCCCCCTGCCACTGGCCTGTGGCCCACTGCAGCCCTGTGTCCCCAGCCTGACCCCCAGGAGACAACAGAGTTCCCCAAAGGCAGGGCTTCCCTGCCAGGGCCTCAAGGGTCTCTCCAGGTGCGGGTATGAAACGTGAGGAGAGAGAAATGGGCCCCTGGTCCTGGTGCGTGGGGTGCTGTGGCCAGCTCATGACTCCTTATTCCATGTCCCGGCGCCCTCAGGAGCTGGGCCTCCTGGACCCTCCCGGCACCAGGACAAAGCTTCCCAGGGCTCTTCCCAGGGGACCGAGAGGGCCAGCGCCCGCAGAGAGGATGAAGGAGTGAAGGCTGGGGTGGTGGTTGTTAGGTGCCATCGAGTCAGCTCTGACTCAGTGACCCCGTGTACAACAGAACGACACACTGCCCGGTCCTGCGCCAGCCTCACAATCCCTGCTATACCTGAGCCCATCGTTGCAGCCACCGTGTCGGTCCATCTCATTGAAGGCCTTCCCCTTCTTTGTGGACCCTCCACTTTACCAAGCATGACATCCTTCTCCAGGGAATGGTCCCTTCTGACAACATGACCAAAGTAGGTGAGATGAAGTCTGGCCATCCTCGCTTCTCAGCAGTGTCCCGGCTGCACTTCTTCCAAGGCAGGTTTGTCCACTCTTAAGTGGGCAGAGGAAGGAGGGAAAGTGGCAGAATGGAAGCCGTTCCTAAGAGTCTGAATGTCGTTGGCCTCGGGCACCGTGACTGTGACGTGCCAGCTGGTTCCTCCCAGATGCCGAGTTTCCTGAGCGGCTGTTGCTAGAAATTGTCCGTGAATGACAGTGGAGTATTTACACCACAGAAATTGGCAAATGGACGCTGTTTTTTTTTTTCTATTCTTTTTTTTGCGGGGGAGGGGTTGTTGTTTGGAGAGCTGCCCAAAGCGTACAGGATCATGGGCTCCGGACAGTTGTAAGAAACACTTGGAATTCACTGGGGTTCGAGGAACAGTAAACTCAACACTTGTTTATTCTTCACTCATGGGCCCCTGAGCACACACAGGAGCCAGGAGAAGGGCTAGAGGCAGGAAGGTGAGGTTCAGTGTGGGCCAGCGCCCTGCTGGACACAGCAGCCAGCAGTTTTGTCTGGGACCCTTCGCCTCCACGGGCGCTATCTTCCCAGTGGAGCAGAGACAGGCTCTCCCTGAGCAGCTGCAGGGCTGCAAGTAAGCCTGGAATGGAGGTCAAGGCCTGGGGTTGAGGCCCGGCCTACCTTCCACCCCTTCTCTGAGCCCAGCATTCCCATATGTACAACATGGGCAGGAACTAAAGGCCACCCTGTTCCCAGGCCTCCCATGTGGCTTTCTAAAGGGCTCAGCAATCACTTGGAATCAGAGCCTGGGCTCTGGGAGTATCTGCACCCTCACCTCCAACTGCTATGTAAATGGGGGTGCAAAGGTCTCCAGGGGGCAAGTCCAGAGCACAGGCCAGGGGACCCCGACTCCCCAGGCCTTCGTCCTGGGCTAGCCTGGAATTACTTCAGGGGGCTTGTGTTGGACATGACTCTCAGGTGGAACCAATGGGATCACGTTACCAGCCACCTGAAGGGCCTTCAGAGAAGTGACTGGGGGTCGTCGGGGAAGATGAGAACTTTCTTTCTCTCTGTCCTTTGTAAGGTAAGGGCATCAGGACAAAAGGGGAAAGAGCGTGGGCCAGTGACTGCTCTACCCAGACCTGCGCCAGCTCTGCTAGCGGGTTCTATACCCCGACCTCCTGTGCCAGCTCTGCTAGCGGGTTCTGTACCCCAA